TGCTTACCCCGAGCTCTCAATACTCTGATAGTGGTTATTAATTCTAGATTTGAAGCTGTCGTGACTGCAAGGATTCATATTCTTGGTTCTTTCGGTAAAGTCACGTAGAAGGGAAATAACAAAAATAAAACAATAAAATTCTCACGACGTTTCGATTGCAACACAAGCAATCATCATCAGGTGTGAAACCCACAGCAAGAAAATTTGAAAAAAGTGGCGTTTTTTCTTAACGTGAGAAAAACCCGCCACTTTTTTAAAAGTGGCGGGTTGGTCCGGATATGGCTGAAAGAGAAGTGTTTTTTATCTGCATTATGCGAGATGAACACTGTAAATTGAATAAAATTGATACTGGTAGGAACCTTCTGGTTACACCAGCCCACAGGGGATTATTGTGTCCGTCGTGCAGGGAGGGTGGCTGGGTGGGGAGGGGAGGATGGGGAGAGGCTGGGTGGGGAGGGTGGGGCTGGGTGGGGAGGGCTGGGTGGGGAGGGTGGGGAGGGGCAGGTCACCCCGTGGTGTCCTTATAAAACTCAACGTTTAACCTACTCACGCCGGCTTGTGCCCGCCCTCACAGTCGGGCATATTTGCGGAATACACCACGCCACCGTTGACCCTGGCCATTGACCGAGCAACCCAACGTTCCTACCAGCTCCCTCCGCAGGAATGTGTTCAGTCTGGTCGACCGAGTCCTCAAACATAAGTGGAGAGATCAATGAGTCAGAGCTACGAGAATAGTAACTGTCGTAGGGTAGGAGTGATACAAAAAAAGTTATATGGAGGGCCTTGACCGCTTATGAGCAAGTGACAAGAGTGAATGGATAATTAATCAATTCTCCGATTTTCACGGTTGGCTACGTACGGTGCGAAATAAGTTCAACTTACAATTATACATCATCAAGCAGTGAGAAAGGAACCGGGTACCACCTCCCCTCCAGATGTGAACATCGCATTCTAACTTTTAGATTTGAAGTTTTCGTGACTGCAAGGATCCATACTCTTTGGTTATTTCGGTAAAGTCACGTAGGTGAAAAAATGTAAAAAAAAACATTTTTAGTGATTTCTATATTTTGTTTTTTTTTTGCACCTACGTGACTTTACCGAAAGAACCAAAGAGTATTCTAACTTTAACAAATCTGTGCGTTATGAGGTGTCATACTTGCGTGGAGTTAAAGAAACCTTAGGTACCGAAATAAAAACGTTTATTTTATGAAGCTTTCGATTAATGATATAGCCATTTAATGATAAGGTAGCTCCATTAGCAACCTATAACACATTCTATGCATGGCAGTCACCCATGCAGGCGCTACACATGCTCAACCTTGCTTAGCTTCCAAGGTGTGACGAGAGACCGGGCACATTCTGTGCGGTTTGGTCCTGTGCATGTTGTACACGAGCTTTCCAACGGTGAGCTTTATGTATGTCGAACTTATTTCGCACCGTACGTAGCCAACCGTGCTAATTGGAGGTGCGGGGGAAGAGCAACGAACTAAACACAAAAAGCAGTTCTGCAGGAGAAATGCAGAGCTGCAGGAGAAACGCGTGGCTCTTAAGAGGACGGACGTCGTCCGGCACCGTGAGCACATTAATGTGACGATGGCCTCTAATGAAGTGACGAACACGATCTCTCCCAGTCATTGTAAGCCATGCCTCTTCCACCCACCAGGAGCCCCCAGGAGGCTCACACTCTTTAACACAATCTGCTGCAAGAAGGGGATTATTATTAGAGGTAATCATGATCAGCGGTGATTTCACATTCACAAAACATCTGTTAATTAGTCCAACTTGGCAATTATTTTCCATTAGCATTAACTTAAACAAACATGGAGTTATTTTCATTATAAACCACAATGGGTGGGGCCTGCTATAATAACTATAGAATCCTGATTTTATGTATTTAGTTTTCAACAGAGCAAGCCTACAATTATTTTACAGTACGGCCCCGTCACAGAGACGATCTCTCTCTTTGTGCCGATACGTGTCCTCTCTCTGTGTATCTTTGTGATATGTCTGCTTATATGTCTGTCTATAGTTCTGGTTAGATTTTTGTTGCTATTTCTTTTTTTTATACCTGATGATGATTGCTTGTGTTGCAATCGAAACGTCGTAGTATGCTATTATTTAATTTATTATTTTATCTTTATACGTGACTTTACCGAAATAACCAAAGAGTAATTCCTGCAGTCACGAAAGCTTCAAATTAAGATTATATTTCCTATTTTGGTGAAAATCTGTGGACTGGTCAATCTCGAGACAAGGGAAAGTGGGAATGAGGTTGGGCATTTGTACAACACAACAAACCTGCAAACAGACATGCACCTTATATATTACCTTTAGGCAGAAAGCTCCTTAAATACAGTGCGACAACAAACTTGTGGTTTGTCCAGAATGTTTTGTAGTCCAACGCACCTTTTGGCAGATGGAGAAATGGGCGTGGTAGTGATAAAAGCCGGTAAGAGCGCCGCGATGGTGAAATGTTAACTCCCATGCCTGGTATGCAGAAGGTCGTGGGTTCAATCCCAACCCTGATGCCTGTATATTTGGACACGCTGTCTCACATTAACATCACTAGACCCAATCACTTCTTTATGACCCTCGGGCTACACCCATTTCAAAACTTTTAAAACAGTTTGTATCAGCAGCAGACCATGCTTTCCCATGGTCTGCAGTCACGAAAGCTTCAAATCTAGATTGTATATTTGGAGTTAGCATGTTCTCCCCGTGGTCACGTGGGTTTTTTTTCCGGTGCTCTGGTTTTTCCCCTCCACGATTAGAAACATGCATTTAGAGGATGTGGCTGCTAAAATTTCCACAAGCCACTTCGTTGAGCTATTTGTGGCCAGGTCGCTTATGAAAAAGAGCTATTATAGCTCAGTGGGCCTTACCTGGTAAAATAAAAAAAAGTTTAGTTTTACCCACCAGTGGCTCCGTGGTTGAGTTAATGGGTCACTCAAAGGTGAGTTCTCAACTGCTGGTTCTGGCTTGAGGATGTGCAGCAAGCCTAAGGAGCTTGTACCTCAAAAAGAATGTTTGACATGGCTTGTCGAGTGGGAGTATGATTGTTCTCATGGGATTTATATGTGCACTTTGGTTTCGGCTTGCAGACCCAAAAAAATGGTTTAAAAAAGCTTTTCAATGAACACACTTTTATTTGCACTCAAAAGTAGAAGATACATTCTTTTGACCCCGGAATTATTATATTTAGTGTGCTCAATAAAAGTGGGTGGCTTGCATAAAGAAAATTAAACATCGAACGGAAGCCACCCACTTTTATCGAGCACAAATTTTATTCTGGGATCAAAATAATGTATTTTCTACTTGAGTGCAAATAAAAGCGCGTGGATTGAAAAGCTAGTTTTACAAAATTGTTTTTAAGTACTTGTTGCTCTCGCGCTAAGAGAGGAAACACAGCGGCCGCTCCGGCGCCTTTACAATCGGCGATAAAAGCGCTTTCATTGCTCAGACTGGTAGATGGGCGCGACCATTCGCGATAAAAAAAAATCATTTTAAACACGAATAGGACCACAATTGGCAGGACCTGGACCGTTTAAAAAAAAAAAATCTTGAATTGTCACGCGAAGAGTGTCTGTAGAAAAATGTCAGCTCGTTCGGCTTTGTAGATAAACAAAACACAGAAAGTTCAATAAGTGTGTAATAAAAAGAAAATCGGGTAAAACAGCCCATAGGACACTCCTAAAAAGGTCTTAACTAAATTAGTTGCATTAAGGAATCTTTAATTTTGAGATTTTCAGCGCAAACATTATAAAATAAAATATTTAAAAATACTTATTTTAAAAACACGCTTTAAATGAAATCTACCAAAAGAGTACCGGTAATCGCAGAACTCCACGACTCCAGGAAGTGGCCCCGAGGCTTGCCATAACGTCAGGGATCGTGGTGATTTACAGCCAACGTTAGTTGAGCGTGGACAATTAGACCCAAGCCGAAACAGAACTTAAAAAGATTGTTTATATAGTATTGTCATCAGTATGACATACGTATACAAAGTTTGCAGTCGATACCACATTGGGAAGTGGGTTAAAATTGAGTTACAAGATTTGAGGATGTGACAGTTGAGAATACGACAGACTGAGTTCATCAAAAGAGTGTAAAACAATGTTTAAAAAAAATTAGATTTTTTTACGATATAATATAGTGTTGTCATCAGTATGACATAAGTATACCAAGTTTGCAATCGATAGCACATTGGGAAGTGGGTAAAAATTGAGTTACAATATATTTTGAGGATACGGCAGTGAGTTAAAGCGTGTAAAAAATAGGCAAATTATCAACGTAAAAATTCAACCTAAACGTGGCACGTCAAACACAAGCTGGTTGAGCAGTAGCCACACACCGGGGTGACTGGACACAATGACTGTGTTGGAACACAAGTATCACCAAGATCCTCAGTTCGGATATAGATTTCAACCTTGTGAATACACTGGTTTCTCAAGTCAACCGCTGAGAGTTGGTTTGTCCAGTCACTACACACGCCACACAAAACCCTTCAATGTTAAAATTAATTAGTCATTAATACAGATTCCAGCTGTAATGTCTGTTGCAAATAATTTAGGAATACATTTGGCAGGTGGTGCATTAGGGTAAATGACAAAAACTTGCATTGTCAATAACACTTTTTAACAAGAGAAATTGACGTTTCAGACAATGGCTCTAATTCATAGCACATGTAGAGTTCTGCTCACTCTCATTCAATCATCATGAAGCAGAACGCTTTGAGAGGGCATGTTAAGATGGGCCACTTATTGTGGGTGAAGTTTATTGAATTAACCCCAGAAAATGCGACATCTTCTGGGTACTGCTCTGAGACCATGTGACTTTTAAATTGCCGAGATTTCCAAATATAAAATCTCAAGCTTATATGAAACACAACAGACTTGTAATTGAAAATAACAAATATTGGTGATAAAAAGCCAATGCTTTTGATTTTATCACCAAGGATTGTGGGGGAGGGTGCAGAATATATACACCATCCAAAGGCAATAGCAGATTACCAAATTCATTTTATTTTAAATTTCACATACAGCCTCAAACGCTTAGATGTATACTCCATCAATACAATGAAATATCAGCCCAAAAAACAATTGTTCATAAGTCCAGTGTTAATTTGAGACTCGTCTCATCCATATCTGCACCATTCAGCCGTGCACACGATGTCTACGGCCAAAACTCCCATCGTGAAAAAAAACGGCAAGGTTACAACAGCATTTTAGTCAAATTTAATTTACAGCAAATGTCAGGACAAAGACACCTTCACCTCTTTAGTAAGACTTTCTACCTCCCACAGTTAGAGTTTTGTTATTTAAGCATCAGGTTTTTTTTCTTTCATTTTAAAAGCTCCTTCAAATTGTTCTCGCAGCAGAAGCTGTTGGCGCCATATGAAGAGAATAAATCAGGGTCTTTATTGGAAAAATAGGCAAAAATAATTAAAATGAAGGCAATCTGCTGAGTTTACTCATTGCATTTACATCAGCTCCTTTAACGTCTTCTCCAGGTGATCCTTATTGGCACCCATCACCTCCCCCACCTGTTCAACGAGAGACGGAGGGGAAAAAAAACAGGTTTGGCACAGCCTCAAGCACCATCAAAAGCCATTGTTAACATAACCTTGTAGCAGACTGGTAATGGATACATACAACAGATGTTAAGAGTAATACGAACGTCAAATGAAAATTCATTTCTTTGAAAAGGGGTAAACCAGACACCAAACGTTGCATCATATGGAAGTTATTGGGTTTGATCCCAACCCTGATGCCTGTATAATGTGAAGTTTGCATGTTCTCCGTGGTTGTGGTATTTTTCTCCGGGTCCTCAGGTTTTTCCCCTCCAAATTTAGAAACATGCGTTGCGAGTATTTGGCTGCTATACATTTCCACATAAGCCACTTCGTTGAGCTATCATTTGTGGTCAGGTCACTTTACCAGGTAAGGCTCAGTGGGCTTTACCTGGTAAAATAAAAGTTTAGTTTCTGTAGATATGTACCGAGGCTATATGTCCTGGGCTGTCAAACACAACTCTGAAGCTTGATTCATGAGAATAAAGGCCAGTTAGTTTTGATCAGTGACATCCCTTCCATACATTTTATATATTTTCAGAAAAGCGACTTGTGCAATGATACAATACACTTTGCCAAAGCAAAATAAAAAAAATTCACATTAAAAAAAAACATTCAGAAGGTCACCACAGGACGATGATCCAACTTTACATTTATGTGCAGAAAATTGGATTTGTAGAATCAAACATGTGTAGGGGTGTTAGAGAGAGAGCCGTTATGCATGGCAGCCTATGGCAAACAAACACAGTGGGCGGGGCTACGTAAGTGCACGGGGAGGTGCCCTCTACGACGTCCGAGCCAGGCACCCTGGGGGGGGCTGGTTCGAACGTTATGATCCCCCGGGGCCCCACCCCTCAGGGAGGGGTTGGGTATAAAAGGGGATGTATCAAAGGGCTCGGGAGTAGAGTTAAAAGCTAACCAGAGAAGACTGAAGACGTCTTAGATAGAGCCCTGGACTCCCCTAGTTCGATGTCCTTATCAGGGCCGAACAGGACTGAGCCAGCGGCGTGGTCCCGAAAGCCAGAGCCGGTGCTCTTGTAAGAGCTGGTCTGGGACTCCGGGTACCGGGCCCGACTTACCAGTGTCGGGCCAGATAGCCTCCCCTAGCCCGTTAGTGGAGGACTCGGGGGTAGGACAGGGATAGCTAGGGGTGTATTCCCAGTTATACGGGTGAGGGGGCCGATACCCCCTCGAGTGTTATATGCCCACTGTTGTACTGTAAAATAAATACACGTGTGCCTCCACCTCGGTGTCAAGCGTCCTCACCGGTACTTCACATGAACACATTTTCTTCTTTTGCAAATTGTATTCTAAATGTCCCATCTGCATCACATGCTCCGATTACCCACCGATTTGTAACCCTCGCAGGGCAATGCATCAAACACGCATTAGAGAATGGTGCATGGAAGGAGACATGGCAGATCGTCTCTAGACAATCCAAATTAATTTAAAAAAGAGATGCATAATTCCACTCACCTTTTCGTTGTTTTTGAAGAAAATGAACGTGGGCATTGCCTTGATGCCACACAACTCGGCAATATCCTGCACACAAGTGACATATGGAAAAAAAACTTACTTAACCGAGAGCTCCATTACGTTAGTCCAGTGCTGTTGTCAAGACGACTCCACTCACAATAAAAAAAGGGGTTGTCCACACAAATTCTCAATAGAAGAGTTGACTTGGCACCTTTTGGAAGAACACAGCGAAAACATTTCCTGCCACACAAAATGTGGAATTTTGACGATATGATCAGGGCCTTTAACGGAGGAAAAAATAACCATATCGGACATTCCGAGTTTGGCAATTAAAAGTGCAACCCAAAAAACAATCATCCGTTATGTTACTTTAATGTCCAACCATTGGTCAAGCCACATACATGCAGCAGTTGAAATTGTATTCAATAAAAACGGACAAACCAAACCGAAAAATCTCATATCCCGGTTCCCAGTATTTTCCATCGGTCTTTGTTTTGTATGACAGTTCCCCCCTTACAAAAGAGATTGTTTTTTTTGTCTTAAAAGGGCTCTCTCTTTAAAAGCCATTTCATGTATTAAGTATGTGCATAATATTATATATGCACTGTACACAAGCACTGGGTGGACTGTTTGTGCATAGGTACTGTATATGTTCGCACTGTATGCCTGCACTAGATGCATGTGCTGTACGTGTGTACCACTTGTAGGTGCTGAACACATGTACGTATATGTACATGTGCTACAAGTACTGTATGGCTATACGGTATGTGTGCTATTTGCATGCTAGATGTGCTGTACTTTATGCACATGCTGTACGTGCCGTGTGCTGTGTGCGTTCTGCATACAGGGGGTTTGAGCAGTGCGTGTAAAAAAAGTGCTCGATGGTTCTGCACGCCTGGGCTCCCGTGAATGCCCTGGTCGCCGTGATGCTCACCGCAGCGTCGTCCACGTCCACCACGCAGAACACTACGTTGTGGTACTCATTTGCAAAGTCCTAAAGAGAAGTGGGGGGGGGGGGGAGAACACAAGTGAGGGTTTTTACAGGTAGGAACAACAGTTCCACACTGCCCACCAGGGATTATTTGTCTGTCTGTCATGCATGCCCCTGCCCCACCAGAGCCCTCTCATTGGCTCAGGGGCGCCGACCAATGGGAGCGGTGGGTTGGGGTTGGTAGAGGGGGGGGGGTTAGTGGTGGGGGGGGGGGGCACCGCCGCGACGTGGACCAATGAGGAGACGGGCGATGTTTCATTCGCAAAATGAAACTGGGGGAGGGTGGCTCCATTCATAAAATGGAAGTCTTGAAAAGAAAAAAGCAGATCTTTTTGCCTCGTGTTTCTTTCAACATTCCCAGCCTTAAGGTGATTCAGTTGGGGGTGGGAGGGGTGGGGCTGGTCACCCCGTGGTGCCCTTATAAAACTCAAATTTTAACCTACAGACTACACTATACACGACACGACACACTCCACTTATACAGGTAGGAACAACAGCTTCCACACTGCCCACCAGGGATTATTTGTCTGTCGGGCACGAATGCGCCGTCCAAACAAGTTCCTACCTGCCCACTCCGAAGGAACGTGTTTTCTCAATCGCATGGAGGAAGTTTAAGCAGCTCCCATAACCCAATTTATTTTGTGAATACATTGCGAACAGGTATGTAAAGTCAACCCCCCCCCCCCCCGCCACATACCTCCAAGTAATTAAATTGAATCATCACTATACTGGGGTAGGGGGGGGTTACAATTTAAATAAACAACTTTTTTACCAGCTTGAAAACGTTCACGCAAAGACCTCCATCCATCTGTCATTCAATGTGAATGAAATGGAAAACTGGCCACATTTAATCAAACGAGTTGCCTCCCCAACCAGAGACAAAAGGACCTGCTTTGATACCCTTGCCCTGTCAGCCAAGGTATTCCCACCCAGGCAGAGAAGCCCCATGGTCTCATTGCGTCCTACGGATGCACTGCATTGTGCACCTGGTGCGAACACAGTATCATTATTACCGCCGCTTAAATAATTTCACAGGACAAACGAACGTTGCAAACCATTTCGAGAATAAATAAAAAAAAATCACGCATTGTGCGTCTTTCCTTGTTCCGTCTCGTTTGTATCGATTTTGTTAGCTTCATTAATTTATTTACAAGTTGTACGAATCGTACATAATCGATTCTCACCTCGTAAAATTTGATGCATACATCCTGAATACAAGATTTTTTTTTTTAATCGATGCATTGTTACATGCCAATTGCAGCTGCACGAAGCAACAATTTATTTGTACCTCAGCCTTAACCACAGTAGGAGACAGTGCCCATTCCATTTTAGATGCTATGCCTTCAAGATTACACAAAAAACGAAATCAGAATGTATACTGGAGGAATCCGATGAGCTATAAAGCTCTTTCATGAGTGTGCAGTAGGAGCAGGTCATAACGTTACAACGAACAACACAAAAAGACGATAGGCGTGGAAAGTATTGTAAAAGTAATGAGCGAGCGCACCGACGGGCGACGGAGGGCTGCATAGGCACTTGCTGCATCAGTCGTAGCCAATCAGAGCTAACGGTTCCATCTGGGCCAAAGTTAATGGGCGGAGCTCGTGGGTACATGCGGGAACCATCGGGAAGGTTCTGAGAGGGGCGTAGTTCAAGGCGGAGCTCGGCTCCGCCGAGAGGGATATAAGAAGAGGCAAGGGGAGGACTCGGAGTCGGTGTGGGAGCCTGTAGTCCGGACTGCATCGCCGCCATCTCGACACGCCACGCAAGTCTCAACCTGTCGTGGAAGTCGTTTATTACAACTGGAGTTAGAAGTGGTTCTTTTTGAGACAAGAAAACACAACATAGTGCGAAGATGTCCAAGCATCAACAAAATCGCTTAAGAAAATATAAAACAACTTTTTTTTTAATCTTACCAGGCAAAGTCCACCGAGCTATTAACTTATTTTTCAGAAGCCAACTGGCCACAAATGATAACTCAAAGAAGTGACTTATATGGACATTTATAGCGGCAAAATAATCAAATAATCTAAACACACTGGGCAAATCGCCTAACGTTGTGATTATGAAACCCCATGAGACACACCCATGCCCCAACGACTCAAACTCCATGGCCAGATGCACAAAACCTGATGCAGAAGTTTCCCTAATCATTGAGGGTGGCAGAAGTTCACACAATGGTGTTATTTTGTGGAAAAACACATTTTTGGATTAGTCAAGGGTCTGATGGTAGATAAACATTGTAAAAATAATAACAATAATATCAGGTTAATTATTGTATTTATTGAAAACTTTTGCCTGGCAAAAATAGGCCTTATAAACTAGCCAAAAACATAATTGGTTTTTACCCTTCTATCCGGCAACAAAACTGACACCTTTTTTTACAAGGAGTCATGTTTGCATAGACCACAATACCTGGAGCCTGAATGCAAACAAAAAACATAACTCTGATGATATATGCACTGTCCTTGAAGTTGATTAGTCCACACCCGAGACAGCTTTCCTTAGAGCCTTAGTCTCACATGGGTTGGACCAGATGATGCCAAAAGGAGTTATGTTTTGTTTGTATTATGGCTGCAGGTATTGTGATCTATGCAAACATGACTCCTTGTAAAAAAAGGTGTCAGTTTTGTTGCCAGATAGAAGGGTAAAAAACCAATTATCATATTTTTTACTGGCATATGAGGTTCCAATGGTAGCCAAAAACATTGCAGCCAAATGTGTAATCCGAAGTCCCAGAGCTGAATTCTAGTTTTGTGCATCTGACACAGCCATTATATGAACCTCCTGACGAACAGAAACAGGACACAAAGCTTTAACCACCCATGACCTCAGAAGATGCTGGATTAGTTGCCCAACATTGTTGAGCCCTTCTTCATGGAGACCACCCTCAAATATGTTAATTATTCTAAAAGCCAAAATGTACACTCACATGAAAGATCGGAGAGATGACCTTGCACGGACCACACCATGTGGCCGAGAAATCGATTACAACCAACTTGTGCTTGTTCTGCTCCAAAATCTGTTTGTACTCCTCCTGTAAAAAGACAAAAAAAAGCAGCCGATCAATTAGGTCCACCAGGCAGCCGGCCGATTTGGAGCACTTGAGTGTTCATGAGGAGCTCAACTTTGTATGCTTGTTACAGAGGATTGCGACCTGTGCTGATAGAATTTAAATGTATTCTAAGAATGGGGTTAAGTTGCCAGACCAGCAGAAAAATGTCAAAATTTGGGACTTTTTGCAGGCACTGCCTTTCCACCTGCATCTGAAAGGATCCTTAAAGTAGGGATGTAATAATGTACTCCCCTCCTCGACACAATGAATTGTTAGAAATTAAGGTCACAATTCAATAGAAGAACCAAGAAGAGGAATCCCTGCAGTCACGAAAGCTTTAAATCGAAATACAATTCAATAGGGTTTCCTTTTTTTTCCCCTATACTTTGTTTCCATATGTTTTAATACTTTGATACTGGCAAAAGCTTTGGTGCCACTTAGCGGCACATGACTGAGGTTTACAAAAATGGCAATTTGTTTACACAGTGGTTTGAATACTTCATAAGAGTTTTATAGTTCATACAAATGTAACATGTAGTTCAGTTACCAAATGCAGTGGGGCTCACAATTCAGCAAGCTCACTAATTCCGGTTGCAGTTTGCGTTATCTGCCGCGCCTCCCCGTTCAAGGTCGAGATGAAGGATCAACTTTCTTCTCCTGCATCTCTCGCAAATTATGCAATACTCGTCTCCAGTCGTGGCCGTACACCACGAGGCCAGGTTTCTTTAACCATATTTAAATGGTGGACCTCGATAGAAATTAGTGTGTACTGGCTGGCGGGTCACACGACATCATCACCTTTAAAATGTGGCCATTAACCCATAACTCTGGTCTCCAGGTTTCTTATCTCTCTCTTCTAAAATCTGGCTTTCATCTCATCGATATACATCTCTGGCGCAGCGAGTCATATCTCAAAGTGGGCAGTTCCAAGTTCGGCGAACCACTCCAAGAGCTTTCGATTTAAAGCTTTCGTGACTGCGGGGATTCATCTTCTTGGTTCTTTCGGTAAAGTCACGTAGAAGGGAAATAATAAAATAATAAAAATAAAACATAATAAAATATATAATACAATTTTATTATGTTTTATTTTTATTATTTCCCTTCTATGTGACTTTACCGAAAGAACCAAGAAGATCACTCCAAAAGCCTTTACAGGTAACCAGTTGAATAACTCTGTCCAAAACCACTGCTGAGAACGCCTCATATCGACGGCAGGACCAGTCTCTCTATAGCAGGATGACTGTTGGTATCCTACAAAGGTGAAATTCAATTAATTGACCCCGAGGAGATGGGCCCAGTTGATCCTGCAGTGCATTTGGAACCTGCAGCTCTGGAAGCGCGAGTCAATTGCAATAATCGCAGCATTATACAGAAAAGAGTACACTTTTCTGACCGAATGGTTTCCCGGTATCCATAACCAACCAAACTGTACAGTTTGTTTACTTTCTGCACTCCTTTAGGCAGGCTGTATGTACATAATTTATAATGCGAACGAAGCCCATTATTTATACAAGAAAGATATACTCTTTCAGAAAGGTCCATTGGCCAACTTCATCAATGATTATAAAGCATTTCGGTGGAACTTGGGGAAAAAAAATCACACGTACAAGAAATATAAACGAGAATTGTTTTATTCTACCAGGCAACACCCACAGTAGCTCTTTTTCAGAAGCGACCTGGCCACAAATGATAGCTCAACGAAGTGCCTTATCATCTGGAAATTTATAGCAGCCAAATACTGAAAACGGATGTTTCTAAATGTGGAGGGAAAAACCGGAGGGACCGGGAGAAAAATCCACGCGACGATGGGGAGAAACATGCAAAAATCAGGGTTGGGGATAGAACCCACGACCTCCAGTATACCAGGCGAGGAAGTTAATATCTCACCAGTGGAGTAGAAAGTGGTAACATTCAAAGCTGTGCAAGTTTCACCTGTCTCACAACCTCCTGGCCAACTCAGCCCTTCTGCTCAATCTAAAAGAAACACGTCAATACATAACGCTCATGCGTTACAAAACCACCCTTACCGACTCGGCTGTGCATAACCTACATCACTGCTGTGCATAATATCCCTTCGCATACATAACCTTCCTGTTCTACACCAGATTCCCTATGTCTCTGTATATAAAACACCTGCTGTATTGCAATTAGATTGAAAACCTCGTACGTGAATTTTTGTGTTATCACCGTCAAAAGTGAACATTTGGCAGCTATACAAGTGTCAAAATCAATTTGAGGCAGGACAATCAGAAAATAATTTACAAAACTGCAAATTAGCCTTGATCACAAACCCCCCCCCCACAGCTTTCCCAAATATAAGTCACAATGCAACATGTCATTGCATGTTCATGACTGGTGGTAAACAAATGGGCTCTCATACACAAATACAAAGACCTCCCATATAACCTATACAGGCAGTGCTGTGTGGAAACACCTATGAAGGCCAGCAGTGTACGGAGGGGGTGGTATAGCTAAGATTACTCAAGCGCAAATGTTTACACACTGCACCTGGTATTCAATCTTGAAAGGCAGAGTAAACCTCGGGGTAGGCCCAGCACCAATTCAGATGTTATTCGCTGATGTTGACCGAGTAGGTGCGGAGATGTTAACTCCCTCGCCTGGTATACAGGAGATCGTGGGTTCGATCCCGACCAAGACTCCTGTATACAGGTAGTCCCCTCTACTTACGATGGAGATGCGTTACGACGACCCCATCGCAAGTCAAAAATATCGTAAGTCGAAGATGGCCTAGCCTACCCAGGAGTCTTAAAAGAATGGTGATAATTTAGCAAAGCAGAGCAATTTACAATACCGTAGTGTATAAACTATATACTGTATGTATTTAGTAATTACAATACTGTATTGCACAGTAAAATGTCAAGTAAAAAAACAAGGTGAATTCTTAGCCTATCTATATGAACTGTAATTTAATAGAAAAGGCGGGAGATGCGTACATCCCGGCAGCGTCCCAACGTACAGCATCGTACCTCGTGCGCTGCTGCGTTTGCCTGCCGCGCGAAATTTTAAATATTTTACAATTTTGTCGTATCGTAAGATCGAAATATCGCAAGTCGGACCATCGTAACTCGGGAACCATCTATATTTGGAGGTTGTATGTTCGTACGTTCTCTCCCCGTGGTCACAGTAAATTATTCTCCGAGTCCTGTTATTCCCTCCATATTTGGTAACATGCGTTTAGCTGATATAAATTTCCACACAAGCCACTTTGTGGCCAGGTCGCTTCTGAAAAATAGTTATATAGCTCCGCGGGTCTTACCTGGTAAAATAAATAGTTTCAATACATTAGTTTTCACTCGGATCGCCGGATTTGCAATGCAGTGTGCGGAAACCATTGCAGTAGTGTGGGAAGTGTGATGACACAGGAATCATTCCCTAGAGAAACACAGCCATTTGTTATTTAACTAACAAGCGTCTGATGCTGTGGGATCGGTTCATAACAGGGTTAATCAGATGCTCCCATCATCACGGAAACGCAACGTCACGGCGCGATGCAATTACTTGCATTTCCCTGGCAGGGAAAGTGCCGGATGAGATGGTGGTAAAAAAACAGCCCCAGCGTTAAGAACACACAAAAATGGCATGCTCCATTTGGTTCTTTGTAGCAATCGCAATAATATAAAACACAAATACTCTTTGGTTCTTTCGGTAAAGTCAGTCACGTAGGTATAAAATAAAATCACATTTCGGGCGCAACACAAGTGTCCATCATCAGGTGGGAAAGCATGGTATGCTGCTGAGGCAGACTGTTTTAAAAGGTTTTAAATGGGTGTAGCGCACTTCTTTGACCCTAGAGCTACACCCTTTTCAAACCTTTAAAACAAAAACAGTCTGCCTCAGCAGCAGACCATACTTTCCCACCTAATGATGGACGCTTGTGTTGCGCCCGAAACGTCGCGATTTATTTTATACCTACGTGACTTTACCGAAAGAACCAAAGAGTATGGATTCCTGCAGTCACGAAAGCTTCAAATCAAGATAAACACTAATGTGTTGCCCCATTTAACTCAATAAGCATGTCCACCTATATGCTGAAGCAGTCTCAGAAAAGGTAGGGCATCGCCCTCTCTCGTCTGGGCATAAGAGCTGCTATTTCTGGGGTGTGGGTCGGTAATGGCCTGGTGATTGAGCGTCGTTTACACATGAAAACAATGAATCAGCACCACTTAAGGTTCTGAATTTTAACCCTGAAGCCGTTTTAAATGTTATTCAAGGAACAGACTTCGCTGGAAAGACAGCGAGCCTGTATGTTGATGTTTTCCCCATATTTGATATTCTGTCAACTAATGTACTTTTTCTTAAGAAAATAAGTGTAAAGTGTCTGCTTAATGAACTTATGGAATCAATTGTGTTGATTAAAAATAACAAATTGTTTGAGTGTCCCTGCGAATATCTTAAAACACGTCGTCAAGAATGCTCGATTTTACACTGGTTCAATCTAGGCACTGTGCTGATTTGGCAAATCACTCATGGAATGCATTTTACGCCACAGCAAAAAAAAATAGAAAAATTCTTCAAATACCCGGGTTTAACCACAACGGCCAACTCTAACTGGAAGTACATGTATTTATCCAGTCTATGGCCTGTGCACTCAACACTGAACCATTTTTTCTCGGACTTGTAGCCTCGCTAAAATAGCTCCAAGCTGGTAAGATTAAATAAATTGCCCGACTGACCGCAACAGTTGACAGCATGTACTGTATTGTCCAGATACATAATTTTCATCCGACAAAGCATTCATCCCAATGTAGGGCACTCATGAAAAACAGTCGTTAGCCTTTGTAAGGACTACTGTAAGCCTCTTTTAATCCATTGCTAGATCAAAGTATCCTGCTGTTGTGTAGCTACTCGTGCTGGTCACAGCAGGTTGAAGGGCGACACCCCAGAACTATATGCTTTGGTTCTTTAGGTAAGTCACGCAAGTAGAAATAAAAAAAATCACGACGTTTTGATAGCAACACAAG